TATGTCCAGTGTTTTTTCATCCCGTCATGCTCCATTCTTGGGTAAACTTGCATATCCATGTGTGGGAAAGACATGTGATATTATTCCATAAATCCCACCAACACCAACAGTCAATTCTATAGGCAGAAGTCACAATATACACTAAGAACTCCCTGAGACAGGGTTCCTTTTTTAATGTTCCTTTTAATATTTTTTTATTTAATAATTTTTTCAATGAGAACATGTTCATTGCATTTGTAAGCAGTGGGATGGCAAGAACCCTGTCTTGTTCACTTTAATATTGCCAAAAATTAGCTCACTTGTGTCACATAAAAGGTACTCCAAACTATTAAAAGAATTAGCAAGTGAATGAGTAGTTAGCTTATAATCAGAAGGAAAAGATATACAATGAGCTAATAAAATAAAAAACTTATAATAAGTATTCAGTTAAACTTGGAGTCAAATTTTTCACTTGGGAATTTTATCCAACCAAACTCTAAATATTGTCATTTTCACCAAGTAATAAACACCACCTAATCCCCACTCTAGCAAGTGCTGGCAGTGTCTTTATCCCTATCCCTAAGGCAAGTCAGTCCATGGATCATGCTGTCTCTCCATGTGCGTTCTCTTCAACAACCTTGAATGTTATCATAGTAGGTGGCAAGGAATGACTGAAATGCTGAAATGTTGGTGTTCCCACCAGGAAAATAAATGCATGGCCTTAAGATATTTCTTGGAAAAAAGAAAAAGTCTTATTCTTTGGAATGAGTGTTCATCTATAGTTTTCAAACAGGAATCTCAGAAGTTTTTGATTACATAATTTCCTCCCTAGAAGACCCCAAGTTCATAAGAAAAATAAGGTTTACCACTGAGGTTGATGTGTCAATGAAGTCCGTCTTGAACTCTTGAGTATAATGGAAACCTCTCCTGAACACATAAAATTCTTGGCTTCCAAGAATAGTCTTGTAGAAGGATCACCACATTTGTTTCCAACTCATTAATTCTATTCAGAACTTGAAATCCCAAATCAGCTTTAAAATATTGGGTCCAAGGAAAATTGACATGGCTCACATTTTTTTTTAAATTAAAGACCAAGTTTTACTCCTTTTATAGTTGACACGAGCATTGTGGTGCTGTCTTATGAGCAGTGAAGAATTCCAGAGTACATCCATGGTTCACTTTATAAAAGCCTTCTAGCTGGTAGCACCAGATCTGGATGGAGGTGCAAAGACAGGAAACACCACACTGCCACCTGATTGAGCTGCCCACCACTTAGATGGGGGCTGGTAGGGGGCAGATGCAGGGGGTACTAAATATCAAAGCTGTGCAAAGTATTATGTTGGTAACATAAGACCCAAGAATAAAAGGCTAGGCTTGTGACTCTTGCTTATTCTCACCGTGAAAGGGAGAACTACAAAAGTTCTGGGGACAGCAAGAATCCTCCTCCTCCCCTTGAAAAATGTCCAAAGGACAAGCACTGACATAGATGGTGATCAATGAACATTAGCCAGTGGTGCCCATGCCTGGAACAACAAACACACACACAAAATCCTGAGAAACCAGAACTCGAGGATCGCTACAGTTTTCTCTGTCTATTCTTTCATTCACATAGTTTTTCAGGTTGATAGTCAAAATTTTTAATTCAAGTATCTCCTAGCCATTAGGGAAAAATAAATGGGGGGGGGGGGGAGAATCCAAATAAATTCACATAAGAAACAGGCATATTATCATACGCATTTCAGATGACAAAATGAATCTGAGATTTCAAGTTTTGGGTAGAGGGTCATATTTTACCCATTGGCATGTCCTCCTACCCCTCATAGACATAGAGGAGCTCAGGACTTAGAGGTCATGAAATTACTGATGTCAAAACAGGAGTTGGAAGAGGAAGGAAGCCTCATGCCTTAAGTTCCCAAGGTACAACAGAAGGTGCTAAAAATGCCAAAGCAAATATGGAAAAGAGTACCCATGGGGGCCTCCCTGGTGGCCTAAGGGCTAAGCCTCAGCTCTATCACAGCTACAGCCTGAGTTCAATCCCAGCCAGGGAGCTACCTGCATGGAACAGTAGACCTCTCCTGTCTCACCCGCTGCTCCCTTCAGCAGTGTAAGTAAATCCTCCTGTTCTGCTCCCCACTCTTCCTCTGGGGAGTCCTCTCACCTCCCACACCTCTGACCTGCACCCCAGTTCTTCTACTAAAAAAATATTTAAAAAAAAAGAATACCTGTAGGATGATTATGCTGATTCTCAATGTTATGTGGGTGGAGTCAATGGGAATGAACAGATATGAAGAGCCTTCTGACTGAATTACCCTGAAGAAGGCTGGGCCTGGTAGAAATCATATGGATCTGTGGGGTCAGGCAGATTGTTTGGTTTGCCTTTCACTGTGATAAATCGTTACCTCTTTCTGGCATTTAGTTTTCACTTTCATGAAGTAAAAGAGTTAAACTCAGTTGCTGCTAAAGTAAGTCTTGATGAGTCAAGTGTTCTAAGAAAGGGATTCTTCATTAAATTTCCCCCAGAATTTGATCCCAAGATTAGAATTTTCATCTACAGAATTTATTTGGAAGAACCTGGGAACTGTGGTCTGGAAATAGAGAAGTGAGATGAGGAAGTCAAGTAAGTCCAGAAAGTGTGAGTTTTCAAGAAATTTATCCCTGGTGTTAGGGCACAACCAAGGGATACCTAGCAACCCCCAAACTAGCACACTATAAAGGGATTCTGTCATCCTTCTGCACAAAGGCAAACTCTTAGTGTGAAAGATCTTTAATAGAATTGGAAAATCTATAATAGAATTGTTGTGCACAAAGAGAGAGAGGAAGAAAGGGTATTACTAATAAGAGTTACCCCAAACTACCCATTCCTCATAGGCAAATGTCCAACCAAATATGACCTATTGAGGTTTCAAAGCTTGTCACAAGTCTAAGGCACCTTGTAATAGAAAAACACAAGAAATGGATAGAAGGAGCCAGGCAAATCTGGTGGTATAAAAGCAAAAAATATATGAAAAGTACAAAGCAAGATAATGACTGTCATTGTCTCTGCCCAGAACAGCCTCCCCATCTGTCTCTCACTGACTTGCTTCTCCAAATTGTCTCTACGTGCCCATCTTTAACGCCTCTCCTCTAAGTGCCCCCAAGTCCTTGGATGCAAGCCAAAGCTGGGGAAGCAAATGGCCCTTTCAGAGTCCAGCTGCCTTCCTTGTTAAGAGCTTCCCTGGCCGCTTAGCTCCACCCCCTTTTCCCAGTTGCACGCTAGGACCTGTAGTCCAAAGCCAACTGCATGGAAGTCTGGGTGGGGAACATGCCGCCTGTTCCTTGTGCTGCAGTACTCCACTCTCTTTTGTGGAGCTGCCTCTGTAACACTGGGAGCAGTTTGGAGTGAATGCTACCCGGAAACGCAGAAGTAAAGAGAAAAAGTGGTTTTCAAACTGTTTGACCTCTATACACCTTTCCCATCATAGTAATTACTGAGACCCCAAGAAGCTATCATGTTTTATGAGTTACATCTAAAAATAGTTCTGTTAGAAATAAAAAAAAAGTTAGAAAAAATTTAAATATTTATTAAACTTAAAAATAAGAGTAGACACATTACATGTTAAATAAATTGCAAATATGATATGAAAAGCTTTGTATCCTCCCTACAAAAATAATGTGAGAGGGATAGCATTTATACTGCATGATTTTTATGAATTTCTTCAATACCTGGCTTAGTAAAAGAGAATAATTTGATTCTCACATATGCATCTGCATTCAATCTGTGGTTCTATGTTTTAAGTGAAGTAAAACTGGTTCTCACCAGTAATGTCTTTGAAAAAGGAAAGGGTATTGTAATTATTCATGTCGCTGTATGTATCCTCAGATACTTATGTATTTCCTTCTTTGATATTACACTAAAACTTGACAGTTGACACACCTTAAAAGTTAGTTTCTGTGGGAAATTTCAAATTAGATCCGTGAACTTTTCCTACTCTATTTTATTAAAATTCTTTTTTTTTTATTCTGCACTTTGAGCAAATCTTTTGCCCCTGTTTGATTTTGTTCATGAGGTCATATGGAGATTAATGATTCATTCAGGCAGATATCCCAAATGCTGACATAATTCACTGCACAACCAAAAATTCACATTCATTATTATCACTTCTTGTCTCATCAGAGCAGCAATTAAACATTGGGAATTCATCAAAATCACAGTGGTAGATGTAAGTGTTCAAAAATTCTAATTTTCGCTTGAAAGCTCAAATTTTATTATTAACATCAAATACTGTCAGTGGACCCTTTAAAGTGACAGCATCGGGGCCTCCCCGGTGGGGCAGCAGGTTGAGCGCTGCGCTGTGAAGCGGTCTGCAGCCTCTGCAGTGCCAGTTCGATTCCTGGCCAGCCAGGGAGAAACCCACATAGTGCGGCAGACCTCTCCTGCCTTGCCCGCTGCTCCCCTCAGCAGTGTCTTCGGTCCATCTACTTGTTCTACATCCCGCTCTGTCTCTGGGAAATTCTCTCACCCTCCCGTGCTCTGGTCTGTACCCCAGCTCTTGAATAAATAAAAACAAATCTCTAAAAAAATATAAAATAAAGTGACAGCATCATTTCATTCATTTTTTGAAAAAACATTAGCCACATATCCAAGTCTGAAGCGCAGTCTCTTCTTTCACTCAAATAATTGAAAACATTCTTTTCGTTGAAAAACGCATCATACTTGAGTCAAGAGCAGAAGTGCTTTTATGTACTTTCCATTTTATCACATATAATATTAAAATGATTTTCACTCAAGGGTAAGTAGTTCATAAACTGTAATAGCTTTTTATTGCTTCTCCCAGGACATTCTTAAGTAGAACTAACTTTTCCTCCATCAGCACGAGTTGGTAAAGGATATGATGATGATGAGTATAACTAGTGTAACTAGCACAGCAGGTGCCACACATCTGATTGATGCTAAGGCCCATTTCTCATCTTTGGTTTGTACTGTCAACCCACATGTTGACACAGCAAAAAAAGCAAGCAACACTTTAACATGGTTATGCCAGTCTTTTTAAGATCCCCAGCTATCCAGAGACCGTATTTTGAGCATGCATGAGACTCCTTCCAGTGGAAAGACGAGCAGTTGGGAATTCATCAGATGAGGCAGGATGAGACTGCTCTAGAGAGGGACATGGCTTCCACAGCACTACTTCTCACGACATGCACACTGATAGAGCAGACTCAACAGAAGAAGCTTCAGGAGGAGACATAGCGGAAGTTGAAAGACAAGAGGAATAACCTTAAATAAAAGAGACAAGGGAAAATAGGTGAGTGCCAAGAGAGTCTGTTAAAGCCACAGAAATGGGTAGGGCAGGTGAGGGGTACCATAGTCCCTGCTCTACTTCCCTTCTTGGGGAGAGCAGATCCCCTCTCATTTATTTTCTAGATTGAGTTTCCAAGCAATAGATGGTTAGAAGAAAGCACTTCACTACTAAATAAAAACAAGGAGTTACAAATATTGATTGAGATGATCTCTGGACGCCCTTCAGAGGCTAGTGTCTTCTGACTGTAGTGTTAATTACCAAGAGAGTCCTAATGTGGCATCCTTATTGTATATACAAAAGAAGGCAAGATGGAGAAAGGAACCTTGTTAGTTATATGGTAGCCTATTTCAGGCTTATGTTGAGATTCTATAGCAGGTGCTGAAATACTCCTTTACAGATTTCTTTCTCTTCTTCCTCTCTATCCTCCCTTGATTCTCATTCACTTTGCAGCTCAGCAGTGGAGTCATTTGAGCATAAAATCACTGGGAATAGTCTAAAGCCATCACCTGGTATACCTCTTGACCCTCCAGACAGGAGATCTTTGGCTGGCATCTTGGATGGAGAAGCCTGAAAGGTGACAAACTTGATTGTTTTTGGTGGTCTTTCCATAGAAATCATATCTCTAAGAAGAGTCTCAGTCTCCCAGAGACCGAAGGGTTATACTTCAGGGTAAATATGAATTGGGAGTCCTCCTACTCTTTGGTGAATTTCAGCCCAGATCACATGGGAATTCCCCAAGCCCTCAATCTATAAGGTTTGTTTAAAGTGTACCAGAACTAATAGTGCCATCAGGTACCCTGAGCCAGGTGCCAATTCTCTGGGAAGGAAAACACCTTTTCCCAGGGCTCAAAGTTTGGAGAAAAAGAGAAATCATTGACTTAAGGGGTTCCTACATCCATTGCTTTCCTTTGCAAACCTGCTCAAAGTAACCTGCTCAAGTAACCTAACTTAAACTGGCTAAACATTAAGAGCCATTTATTGACTCTTACAAATGGTGCAAAAAATGTTTCAGGTGAAATTTGACCTAGTGTTTTGTTTCTGTCATGAAGGACACAGTGATGTTGCTGTTTCTTCATGTTTCTATGGAGTCAGCAGCATCCTAAGGTTACAAAGGAAGGTTAATTCTCTTTGTGCAGACAAGATGACTGCTCAGCAAGCTGGGCTCTTTACATCCTTGTTCATATTCCAGAGAAGAAAAAACATCTCTTTTCTCAACTATCAGACCAAAGCCCTTGGCTTCATTTAGGTCATGAACTAACCTAAGTCTCATGCCCAATCTTGCACTAATTACTCAGACCAGCCAGAGCATATGGCTCTGGAAATAGGGTCAATTCCATACCAACTACATGGCCAGTGTATACTGGAGAGAACAGACAAGGGAGTCCAGTAAGCACATTAATCTATTTGTTCCACAAGCTCAAGGACCAAAGTAAGTTCCCATCTCAAAAACACGGCTCCTCCAGAGAAGAAGCCCCCTTGGTACATTCACCTCCTCCTCAGATTATACAATTAAGGAAATTAGGTTTTTTAGACAACTCTCCAACCCACTGAATTACTCCAAAATCTGTTCTGCCAAAAAATCCAAGACAATAGGAGCTCCCTGGTGGTGCAAGGGGTTAAGCACCACACTATGAAGCAATCTGAGGCCTCTGCAGCATGAGTTTAATCCCTGGCCAGGGAGCTACCCACATGGCGCAGCAGACCTCTCCTATCTCACCCGCTACTCCTCTCAGCAGTGTATTTCAGTCAATCTGCCTGTTCTGCTCCCCACTCTGTCTCTGGTGGGTCCTCTCACCCCCCGCATCTCTGGCCTATACCCCATCTCTTGTATGCATAAATAAATAAACCTTTAAAAAAAATCCAAGACAATAGCTAACAGCAGGAGGAGCCAGATAACCCAGTTTGGTTTGCAGACATTTAGGGACTGGCACCTTGTTTTTGGCAGAATAAATAAAGCCAATGTGTTGACAAAGGTTAAGAGCGACATAGTCAGAATCCCACTACTACTCCTCCCACATGTTTATGAATGATCTCTTTTAAAGTCAATGCTAATATACAGCAACAAATAAGTGATCTAAATGATACACATACTTCTGTTCTTTGTCACCTTGGTTATATAGCTACTACTCAGGGATGAAGAGGACTTTTGATTTGACTGAAATATTCTCACATTTCTGGCAGATAGGGGATGAAAAGATTGATTATAATCACAGAAAATGATGTCAAAGTTGCACTTCTTGAACATCTGAAATTGAATGTCAGACCCACTGGGTGGTCCTCTCCCCTGCCTTTTATTAATTGCAGTGAAAAATATAACATGATATCTGCCTTCTTAGAATTTTATAGGATAGTAAATAAAATGCTTTAATATATGCACATTATTGTACAGTAGATGTGTAGAACTTACTTATCTTTGCATGACTGAAATTCTACATCCTTGAATAGTAACTTCTCATTTCTCCCTCTCTCCAGCCCTTGACAACCTCCCTTCTTTTCTGCTTTGATTAGTTTGACACTCTTACGTGCCACCTAAGGAGAATCATGCAGTGTTTGTCCTTCTGTGATTGACACTCAGTATAATGCCCTCAGTGTTCACCCATGCTATAGCTTCTGACAGGATTGCTTCTTTTTATGCTTAAATAGTATTCCATAATAAATATATACCACATTGTCATATCCATTCATCTTCTAATGGTCAGTTAGGTTGTTTCCACCTCTTGGCTGCACTGATGCAATGAACAGGGGTGCAAATATCTCTTAGAAATCCTGATTTTAATGTTTTTGGATGATTATACAGAAGTGAGAATCAGGTGGTAGTTCTTTTTCATTTTTGAGTAAACTCCACATCAGTGCTGATCAGGTGGTAGTTCTTTTTCATTTTTGAGGAAACTCCACATTGTCTTCCATAGTAACTGCACCATTTTACATTCCACAAACAGTGCATAAATGTTTCAATTTCTCCATATCCTCATCAACACTTGTTATTTTATTTTTTATATTTGTCTGTTAGTTTATAATGGTAACCCTAACAGGGAGTGATATGATATCTTATTTGTATTTGATTTGCATTTCCCTGATCATTTATAATGCTGAACTTCTTTTTCATATACTGGTTGCCCAATTGTATGCTTTGGGGAAAAAGTCTCTTCAAGCCCTTTGTGCTTTTTTAAAATTGAGTTATTTGTGTTTTTTGCTATTCAGTTATAGAAGCTCCTTATATATTTTGGATATTAAGCCTTATCATATACATGATTTGTAAATATTTCTCCCCATTCCATCAGTTGCCTTTTCACTCTCTTAATTGTTTCCTTTGGGCCTCCCCTCGTGGCTCAGGAGGTTAAGCACCCCACTCTGAAGCTGTCCGCAGCCTCTGCAGCATGGCTTCGATCCCAGTCAGCCAGCGAGGGTCCCACATGGCACAGCAGACCTCTCCTGTCATGTCCACTGCTTCCCTCAGCAGTGTATTTCATCAGTCTGCCTGCTCTGCTCCCCGCTCTGTCTCTGGTGAATCCTTTCACCCTCCCATGCATCTGGCCTGGACCCCGGTTCTTGTATAAAATAAATAAATAAATCTTAAAAAAAAAAGGAAACAGAGGTTTCAAAATATGTCATTAAAAAAAAATTGTTTCCTTTGTTGTTCAGAAGGCTTTCAGTTTGATGTAGTCCTACTTGTCTATTTGCCTTTTTAGCTGTTTTTTGATATTATCCCAAAAAGCATTGCCAAAACCAATGTTATGATGCTTTTCCACTATGTTTACTTTAGGAGATTTTTAGGTCTTATGTTTATGTCTCTAACTGATTTTAACTCACTTATTGTATATGGTATAAAATAGGATTCTGATTTCATTCTTTGCCATGTGGATACCCAGTTTTCCCAAAAGAATTTGCTCAAATTCTTTACCACTGTGCGTTCTTGGCCCTCTTGTCAAGATCAGCTGACCATATAGGTGTGGGCTTATTGCTGAACTCTTTTTTCTCTTCCATTGGGCTACATGTCTATGACAATAGCTTTAAGTCAGTATCATACAAATTTAATTATTGTAGTTTTGTAATATATTAGAAATGTATCAGATATTGTAAGATCTCAAGATTTCTTTTTTTCCCCTCATGATTGTTTTGACTCTTTGGTGTCTTTTATGGTTCCATATGAATTTTAGAATTGTTTTTTTTTTTTCTGTTTATAAAAAAGACGCCATTGGGATTTTGGTAAGAGTTACATTGAATGTGAATGTGTAATCAATTCTAGGTAGTATAGGCATTTTAACAATATTAAATCTTCCAATCAATGAAGACAGGATCACTTTCTTTTGCTTGAGTATTCTTGACTTTCTTTCAGCATTATTTTGTGGTTTTAAATGTATAAGTCTTTTGCCTTCTTGATTAAGTTTTTTCCCAACTATTTTAATCTTTTTTGCACTATTTTAAATGGGATTGTTTTCAGATGATTTGTCCTGTTTTCATAGAATGTGTTCCTCAGTGCCAGAAAGGCCAGAACTCCAGTGTCCTTCTTGGAACTCTGCTTGAAGTGACTTGAAGATTCAATCCTCTCCCAATGGGAACACTGACTAATCTTGACTTTTGTGTTCCTCGGATGCTCTCCCTAGTTAGAAAGTTCTCCCAGATGCCTGAGCTCATTATTATTATTATTTTTTGTGGGACCCTTCCCTGCGGCCAGGAACGAACCAGCGCTGCAGAGGCTGCAGGCAGCCTCGCAGCCCAAATCTCAACCGCTGCCTCACCAGGGGAGGCCCTGAGCTCATTATTATGAAAGGAAAACCAATCACTGTTGTCTATGTCAAGGGGACAGGATTTCAGGGTCTTAAAAGGTGACTCCTACATGTTTTCAAGACTTAATCATTGCTTTATTCTCTTATATTGTAGAAACTTTATTCTGGGATTCCATAGGATGTGTTTTCTTCTAAATTGTGGCTTTAAAGCAAACAGACAAAACTGTCACAGTTTGGGCAGCTCCTGTGCTTTGTCCTTTGTGGTCCTTTGCATTCAAAGTGACACAATGGACCTCGCTCCTCCCCTGAAAGACTACACCGGAAGTTATTTTTTTCTGACTTGTCATAGGAGCTGACTCTTGGAAGGGGACCAGAAGCTGTCTAACTTGATCCTTCAGTCCTGCTGGCCTCTGGGCTACTCAGTATGGATGAGATTGCCTTTCCATAGGTAGACAGGCCAGGAAACTCTGCGTCATCAGAAGTAAAAGCTGAGGGGGCCTGTGGGATGTGGCAAGTGTCTGTGAACCTGTCAGCTGCCTGGAAAGAGTGATCAGAGCTCCAGGTAGTAACTCTGAGGGCTGGGAGTGTTGGCATGTTGGGGGCGGTCAGTACTCTGCCAGGGAAGGCTGTGCAGAAAGTCCTGGCAGTGCACAGGCTGCAGCACAGCCCTGGGCCTCAGGCTCGGACAGTACTGCTCCTTCTACTGCATAACCTAAGTGCTGGGCCAGCAAGACCCTGCCTGCACCAAACTTGATTATGTTTGCCTTTATTAATTAAAAGCACACATAATGGGGCCTCCCCTGGTGGCGCAGCGGTTGAGCACTGGGCTGGGAAGCTGCCCGCAGCCTCTGCAGTGCCGGTTCGATCCCCGGCTGCTCCCCAGCCACCAGAGGAGGGTCCCACATGGCGTGCAGACCTCTTCTGCCGCCCGCTGCTCCCCTCAGCAGTGTACTTCGGTCCTTCTGCCTGCTCTGCTCCCTGCTCTGGCTCTGGTGAATTCTCTCACCCTCCCATGCTTCTGACTGTAACCAGTGCATGTATAAATAAATAAATGAATAAATCTTAAAAAAAACAAAAATTTAAAAAAAAAAAAAGCACACATAATGACAAAAAAAAGACACTGACTTCTTTTCAAAAAATAACATCTAAACTTTACACAAATTTAAAAATATAATTAAATTAATAATAATTATAAGGATAATAATAAAGTAGTTGCAGACCCATTATTCAAAGTCCTGTCATTAAATGAGCACTTCTGATATGTTGGTATAACATCTGCATAGCCTTTCTTTTTCTTTTACATTGTGTATATATGTGGCATCATAAAATTGCTTTATAACCAATTGCAAATAAAAATTGCTTTCTTTTGTCATGTAATACTATCCCGTAAACATTTACCCATCATTAGTCTTCTATTATCAAGATATTAGCACATTGCATTTCATTACTCAATAAAATGAGTTTTGTTTCCTTCTCAAATGATTTGAGCTCTCTGAGCTTCTTTTTTCTCATGTATAATAAGCACACTCATTGCAGGTGTTCTGGAGATTGCTGAAAATCGACAACAGAGCACCTGCCAGAGCATCCCGTAAGGACAGGCAGCTTCTGGGTATTACATCGTTCACTTCTGCCACTATTAGAGATTACTTAAATATTCTCTAATATTGCATTTTCAAATTATTAGCTGTTTTATGAGTACAAGTCGATGCTTATTTTGTAAAGCTAAATAACTCCCTGTAAACTTATAAGACCAAAGACTGAATTAGAAAATTCCAGAGCACTTTTTCTGTGCTGGTCTGGTCGCTTCTGTGGGTGAGGCCCCATGTGAAGTGCTGGATTTGCATTTGCTGCAGAGACCACTGGCCACACAGGCCCATAGCAAGGGGTTTATGGAGAATATAAATGGATGCAGAAAAGTATTGGCTGGTGGAGTTATCTCTTCATTTTAAAAAGACAGTACAAGGGACCAACCAAAATTGCACATTCTCTGATGTCATGGGAGACTTGCCTCTGTGTTGAACTCGAAGAAATGTTGACAGAAAAAGGTGAAAATACTTCTTTGACTTGCTCACACTAGCGTAAGCATCTGAGCATTGTGCCACTCCATCAAACACAAACTCTGTTCCACGCACTCCATTTCTGCACAGATGTAAAATGAAGTGAGAGGGGAGAGGCCAGCATAGGTCCCTTGAGCCATGAAGGATTCCATAGCATAGTTATGAGACAGACCTCCGATAGTTTCCATGGGTGAACAGATATGAAGGTAATTAGATAGTTCTTTTCTTTAAACTTTACCATTTAGCAAACTGATAGGAGAATGGCAGGAATAACAAAAATGCTGTCACTGGGGCTCTATCGTTGTTGAGAACAGGAAGGAGTCCTGTACATCCACGAGGGGACAGGAGGTGTCACTGGAGTTGGTGCTCAGATGATGAATGGAATTTGAATTTGGGCTGATGAACACAGTGCACTTGTGATGAATGAGAATATGAAAAGTCACTCAAGGGTGTTATGTATGGAAAGAAGTAAAGAATTCATTTCAGCATGGCCAAAGTAGACGGTGTGGACAACAGATTATAAACTGCCCGTCACTGAACTCTCTCCAGGGAATAACTCCTGGGCAACAGTCTCGATGCAGTATCACCCTTGGACATACAGCAGCTCTGCAGTATCTCATGTCACGTTCATTCAAAGGTGGAGACCATGGAAACCCACTGAAGATATTAGGCATGAAAACCCTGCTCATTTGGAACTGTGCCCCCAGAAGATTAATTTAACATCTGTGTACAAGATGGGGTGTAATGGAAGAATAATGGAAAGGGGGATCCTCTCCCTTTTGCCATTGAGCCAATGGTTCACACGACAACTGATGGAAATCTGACTTATAAGACCATAATGCAGGAGAGAGGATGGAGGTACATGTGTTGCAGAGGTCAGATCTGCAGGACCAGTGAGGCAGTTGCATGTGCAAGGTCAAGAACAATGATGATGCTTCACGTGGCTGTGGGCATGAACGCACCATTGCTGGGAGGGACCTTGAGAAGACAGATGATGGATTTGGTTTGGAACAAACTAGTTTTGTAGAACAGCCAGTGGTAGATGTCCAACACATGATGGGAAATGGGAGGCTAGAACTCAGGAGACAGAAATTTGGGAGCAAAGATGAAATAAGAGCTAATAATAGGCCAATAGCTGGACACATTTCACAAAACTGGCCACTTTGTAAAGCTTCATCACAGAGACATAAGAGGACAACTAATGAACCTGCCAAATTCTGAAATTCCAGGGTTATTTAAAATGTATTATCATTTAGTTAAAAGCTCAAAATTATGCCTGGCAAAGTTTAATTAAGCAAGAGTAGCTGTTTAAGATATTCATTTTACTTTGGGGAGAAACTTATTTTAGAGCCGTGTGCCGTGTGTGTGTGTGTGTGTGTGTGTGTGTGTGTGTGTGTGTGTGTGGTTTTCCTTAACCACAAAATAGAGTAAAAGCAATTTTCATGATATGTCCTTCAAAATTGGAGAGCTGGTAGCATTTTTTTGAAATCCCGAAAGTAAATGACTTCCTTCCAAATTTAAAGCATAAATCATAATTGTACTTTCTTTCTGGGGCTTCTGCCTTTTGTCAAATTAACAGCTTTAGAAGGAAACACATATTTTCAGTTGACCTGCAGTTGGACCTAACATTTCTCCCCTAAATTGTTCTCAGACATTGTAGCTGTGGAAGAGAGAGGATACACTTTCAGAATCTGCTGTGTGTGGCCCGGATACCGTTCTCTGCCCCCAAGAAGCTAATCACTCTCCCTCTCAGGGGCAGCTTTGGGCTAATGAAGTCTTAGCTCCAGGTTTTCCCTCTTCCTAATGAGTGCTAATAAAATGCATTTAACTCCATTAATGCAACAAAAACTCAGCATTATTTCATTGTAACTACTTAATAAGAACCTTGTTTAATATCAAATTACAGCCTGCCCAGCCAAAGCTTTATAAGGGGGGAAGTGAGGCTGAGACAAGGGAATATCAAGTGCTATAATTTAGACATTCCTCCTTAATATGCCTGCAGTCTTATGTGATTGCTTAATTCGTTTAGCCCAGCTAGTCTGATCCTTCTGCCAACTGTTTTGTAAAATTTACTGCAATGCTAGGCAACCAATCCCACCACACAAGCCAGAAATATAGTATTGCTTTTCCTGGGACCAAGCTATTAACAGTTGTTTGGGGAGAGGCAACAGGCAATGGAGCGGATACTGTTACAGAGAGGAAGAAGTTTGGGATGGGCCTCATTGTTCAAATGAGTTACAGCAAATACAGTTTTTATTCATCCCTTTTCCCCCTTAATTGTCTATGATATTATTTCAGAAGTAACTCATCCTGATTTCAGATGTGTCTTCCATGGGAAGTGATGTCTACTCCTCACTGATAAGGCTGTGAACTTCTGGGTCCTGAGAGGCAGCCCTTCTCTTAAATAACTGTCCATTCCAAATGCCTTTGAAAGCTTTCCATTTAAATAAAAGCACCATTTTGTAATTGAGTGATCATTGCTTGACCTAATTTTATTTATTTTTAAAGTTTTAATGAAAAATAATTTTTTATTAAAATTTGGAGAGAACATTTTTGCTCTTTCATAGGTCCACATGCTCCATCACCTCCCACCAAACCACCCATGCCCATACCCCCTCTGTCTCCTTCCCCAGCAATGATGTAGTTGGAGACAACTCCAATGGCAAGGGAAACAAAAGCAAACATTTTATTTTTTTCTAAAGATTTATTTATTTATGCATACAAAAACTGGGGTACAGACCAGAGGTGTGGGGGTTGAGAGGGTTCACCAGAGACAGAGTGGAAAACAGAACAGGTAGATCTACTGGCATACACTGCTGAGGGGAGCAGCGGGCGAGGCAGAAACAGTCTGCTGCGCCATGTGGGTAGCTTCCTGGCCAGCTGGAATCAAACTCATGTTGCAGAGGCTGCGGATAACTTCACGGTGCTGTGCTTAACCCCTTGCACCACCAGGGAGGCCCAAACCAAACATTTTAAAATGGGATGCCAAATTATAAAATATTTACACCTCAAATAAAACCATCACAGAAACAAAAAGGTAACCTATAGAACTGGAAGAAATATTCACCCTTCACATATCTAACAAAGGGCTAATCTCTAAAATATGCAAAGTTCATATATAATCCAACAAAAAAGAAACAACCCAATCAAAATATGGACTTAATTTTAGTTTCATGTTATTGGATAGTCCATAAAGTGAAACAAATCTATGGTCTTATTATCTAAAATTATAGACAAGAACCTTCTTTTTCACTCTCCCCATCAGATTCAAGGACCTAGAAATCTTCCTGCTCCTCCTATCACGCAAGAGAGATCACATTTGGAGACATTTTCATCTATGTTGATTCTGAATGTATAGGCTGCTATTTATTTTGGTAGCCTGCTTGTTAAACCCATAAGAGCACTTCTCTTGGATTTTGAAGAAATTAACAGTTGTGACTTGTCCATGGATTTATGAGGGAAAAGGAGTTTGGGGTTGGCAGAAGGAAAGGACTTCCTGCTAACTTTTTATATTTATTCACAAAAAGTCATTGTTATCTCTAAGCATGAAAATAGTTTATAAATCCCTTAAGAAAATGCCAGCTTAAAAAGGAAAGATCTCAGTTATCACTGAGTCCTTACAACCAGTCATCAGATAAGAGAATTGATGAAAACAGCAGGAGACATTGAAGATTCACCTTGTAGAGATCATGGAAGAATTATAAAAGACTGGAAAGCTGCCATTGCTGAATTTCTAATAAATGGCTTGAGTCAAAATTTGGTTATAATATACTAAACTGTGTAAGTACTGAGCTTGCCCTCGACCCTTGTTCCTCCTTGATAGTGGTGGGGCAGAAGGGATGGGCAGATCCTGGGCCCATGCCCCAGAATAGAACAAAATGGGAAGCTACTGCCAGCTATTCTTGCATTCCATGTTATCCTCACACGTCAGTAGGATAAATGGGTGTTTCCATTTAAACAAGATGTATGCCTTTGTTAAAGAAATGAATCTGGAGAAGACAAACATGGCAAGTTTTGGTATCCTCTAGCAATAAATTGAGGTTTTTCTATCTGTCTAAACCCAAGTTTCTGATCAGACTATAAAATATATTTCAAAGAATGATGGATGACTCTTGATGAGCAAAAGAATTAAGCCAATAGTGAAAGAACGAATATGTAGGCTTTGTTTTATAATAGGGAATATTAATATGAAAACATGTGCTATATAGTCCCTTTTTTTGGAAACTCTGTGGTTGTTGAATGTGTATTTATTTATAAACAATGCTAAATTTCTTCACCTAATTTTCTTTCTAAGAGAGAGAAATATTTCTAAGTAGCTTTGTAGTTCAGACTGCATTTGTACAGAGGCTAAGGGAAAATGAGCCTTATGCAAGCTTCTAAGCAAGCAAATCAAATACTCAGTTTCAATGCAAGCAAATAATACCTAAAGGATACCCTTTATAGTCTTTTAAAAATAAAGACTGAGCTTTTGTCCAAACTAAGTCATTGCAGAGAGGGCTGCGATTAACTGGTTTATTAGCAGAGATTTCTCTCCCTGAGACATGCTCCTATTGGACGCCTGTAAAGGTGAGAAGAAGATTCAGTTACTTTCAGGGAAGAGCTAAAAAAAGGAGGAGGTTTATTACATCCCTAATGGGCCAAGGCCTCTAAAGTTATCTAAGCCTCTGCACTCCTGAAATAAAATATAGCTTACTAGAGCAGCCTCGCAGGGGATTTGATAGGCTGCTTGCTTTCATCTGCTTCAGACACGCTGGAAGTGCTGCTTTTAGAGACTGGCGACTCTGGTAAGAATGAAGAAACAGAGGTCACGAAATGTGCTTCAGTTCTAAACTTTTAAGGGACTAGAAGAGGAAGTTGCTGTGCCTCGAAAGTGAAGGGAATCCTGTAGACTTATTTTAATTCTTGTTTCTTTGAGCCCTCACTCATTGTCTTATATTTGTGCAAAGTCACCACCCCAATTCCTATAAAAAACCTGGGGGTCATCCTAGTCTCTTTCTTCTCATTCAACCCTCACTGCCAATCAGCCATTGGGTCTGGAATATTCTTCTTCCTCAATTTCCCTCAAATCCATCTTTCCCCACCCCTTTTAAAGAAAGCTTTACTATTGATGAAAATAAAAGAATGCAAATGCTGTCAGACCAAAAAAAAAAAAAGAAAGAAAGAAAGAAAACTTTACTGAGGTTACTTCTTAAACCATGAAATCTATCATTTTAAGTGTACAGTTTGATGAGTTTAGGAAAATTACACTTTTGTGTGATCATCAACACAATCCAGATTTAAAGCACTTCCCTAAATCCCAAAGGTTCCCTTGGGCTGGTTCCCCACTCTGAGTCTGGCAACCACAGGTCTTGGGTCTTGTAATTTTATATAAATGGAATCATGCAAAGTGTGGTCTTTGCATCTGTCATCTTTCACTGAGCATAAAGTTCAGGAGACGGGCCCCTGTTTAAGCCTCCTCCCTTTCTTCCTTTTCACCCTGGCATAATGTCCCACTGCATGGGTGCTGTGTCTTCATATTGTGTATCCACATTTCACTTGATAGATATTTTTGTACATATGATATTATTATGAATATTTATGTGCATGCCTTGTGAAATGGTTTTCCTTTCTCTTGGTAGAGAGCTACAAGTAGAATTACTGGGTATATGGTAAAGGTATGTTTAACCTTTTTTCTTTGAGGTAACATTGGTTTACAACCTTGTATGTGATTTAGGGGATTAGGTTCACACTCAAATGTATGTTTCCACATCACACCCACTTCAGAAGTACCAGTAACCCTCCACCACAGCCCATTGGATAAGTTCCCTCTTCCTCCCACCCCCAAGCTGCACCCTCTTCCTCTCCGGTAACCTTAGTTTTGTTATCAGAAACCAAGAATCCGTTTTTGTTTTGTTTCTTTATATTGCACACATGCACGCAATCATCTTTTTAATAAACCACTAAATCATTTTTAAAGTGGCTGGTCCTTTTCACATTCCCACCAGCAATGTTTGAGTTTCCAGTTTCTCCACATCCTGCCCAACAGTTGGTGTTGTCAAATTTTTAAATTTCAACCAATGGGGTGAGTCTGAAGTGTGGTACCTCGTTGTATTCTACTTATTTGTATTTCCCCAGAGAGAGGGGTGTTGAGCCACCCCTCTCCCTATTTTGATTTCCATTCTCTTAGTTCAGAATTTCAGGTCTCCCTCCCATGCCCCTCAGATTACTAAACTAATGGGTTATGTGGTCTACACAGTTTTTCTTATTGGAAACAACTCCTCTTTGCCCTTGAACATAATTCAAATGTTCAACTCCTACCCTGTCACCCACAATGTCCTGGGAACCTTGGAACCAGGTCTGGCTGAATGGAAAACAGTATTTCCAGAACAAAAAAGTGATTGGTGTTAAGATTGGGGTTACATTTCCTTTGATGGGAACCTTTCTTCAGAAACCTGGGAATTACAACTAGCCAGATAGTCTCACCTTATTAGTTCCAAGTACTCAAAACCAAGTTGCCTCAAGACCTTTGAGGTTGTATGTGGATGTACATGTGTGCACATAACATGTTCTAGAGACTCCTTGACCATGAAGCTGCACAAACATGTTCATTTCTACTCACCAATCTCAAAAATTGACTTCATTTTACTGTTTCGACCTCCTCAGATCTCCCCTCTAATATCTTGCCCCAATGTTAAGTAGAAGCTCAGCTTGGAGGGACAAGGGTGACTGGTTCCAACAAAATGCTCAGCTTTGCTTTTGACATTCTTCTAATTGTATTGGAAAAGTCAGACTGCTGAAACATGCAGGTCTTGAGTAAACAGGGTTTGAAATGGGTCTACACCTGTTTCCAGCCTTGTGACTGTAGACAAGCTTCGTGACTTCTCTACCCCTTAGTTTTGGCATCAGTAAAATGGAGTTAGTAATAATTATCCCTTCATGTATTTATTATGATAATTAAATATAGCATACCTTTTGCAAAGTGCTCATAACAGTTCCTAGCACATAATAACTGCTCAATAAGTGGCAACCACGTATTTATCTGCACAGGCACACATAGGAGGTGCTGTTAATGTCTACATGGTGACAGGTAGAAAGAACATGCTCAGAAACTTCTGTAAATTCCTTGTCCTACTGGGAATTGACTTTCAGTTTGTAATTCTGAAAGAAGAAAGCTATTGCTGAGAAATGCAACGGTTCAGATGATCAAATAGTTTCTGATGTTGATCATCATTCTCTAAAATTCCTTTTCAGCCCGCGCTGGGCCCCGGCGCCGCTCACGGGCTGGGCTGTCCGGCCGCCCCTCGCGGGCACTGGGGGCGGAGCGGACCCGCCCCGAGGCCGCCCTGCCCGGAGCTCAGGCGGGGTGCGCTTCAGTCGGGAAGCCGGGTAAGAGTTGGAATCTCTGAGAGAATACCCACTGGCTGCCTTTCCCAGCATTCAAGGCCGCACCATGCTCATCCTTCGAAGTGGTCTGACTAAGGCCCTGGCCGCGCGGACACACGCGCCTCAGGTATGCTCATCTTTTGCTACAGGCCCCAGGCAGTATGATGGAACATTCTATGAATTTCGTACCTATTGCCTTAAACCCTCAAAGATGAATGAATTCCTGAAAAATTTTACAGAACATATTCATCTTCGTACAGCTCACTCTGAATTGATTGGATACTGGAGTGTAGACTTTGGAGGCAGAATGAACAAAGTGTTCGGTATTTGGAAGTATGATAATTTTGCACATCGAACTGAAGTTCGCAAAGCCTTGGCCAAGGATAAGAAATGGCAGGAACAATTTCTCATTCCAAATTTGCCTTTGATGGATAAACAAGAGAGTGAGATTACTTATCTGGTACCATGGTGCAAACTGCAAAAACCTCCAAAAGAAGGAGTCTATGAATTGGTTATTTTTCAGATGAAACCAGGTGGGCCAGCTCTGTGGGGTGAAGCATTTCAAAAGGCAGTTAATGCTCATGTAAGTCTAGGCTATTCAAAACTAGTTGGAGTTTTCCACACAGACTATGGAGCACTCAATCGAGTTCATGTGCTTTGGTGGAACGAGACTGCAGATAGTCGTGCAGCTGGCAGACACCGGGCACACGAGGATCCCAGAGTGGTGGCCGCCGTTCGGGAAAGTGTCAATTACCTAGTGTCTCAGCAGAATATGCTTCTGATTCCTACATCATTTTCACCATTGAAATAGTTTTCCACTGAAATCTGAAGCATTTCATTAACTGCCATAAGATGTGCCTGCTAATGGTGTTAAAAATCTCCCAAGAGAGTCTCTCTTTTATGTGAAGGAGGTGATAAGTTAATTTGCAGCATCTTGGAATTTTTAAAGCCACTTCTGTCCTTTGCCACTACCACCTCAGGAAATTGTTCTGTTCATTTTCCTCAGGGCATTAAGTATCTATTATACATTAGGAATAGTTGCCACAATTTCATTATTATGATTTTACATTTGTTTCAGAATAGCTCTTATTCTCTGTTTTGACAATATAGCATTTTTCTTTGCTTTGTAGCATTTTCTTATATTCAAATGAAAATTTTACAGTTCTGTGCCTGACAGTTTTTTAAAATTATTTATGTATAAAACCTGTCTTTTCATCATGTCTCTTTAATTAAGACTTAAAAATATTTTGTCCTGTAAGGTTGTTTTTGGATATTACATTGAATTCATAAAAATACTAGATCAAATATCTAATATGGGACAGTACCATCATCAGTATTATCTGTATTAGTTATGTTTTTCAAAATTAGATTATTAGTCACTCTAAGTTGGAAAATAATATAACTAGATCTCAGTGTTTAAAAAAAACTTCTGGAGACTCATTTTATATGCAGACATGGTTGATTTGTGGTTAATTCTGTTCATTTTGGATTACTAACAAAGATACTTTGGACACCTAATTGTTTAAAGAGATCTTTGTGGTTATGGGAATGCTTGTCCTAATAAAAGCCCACAATGTCCAAAAAAAAAAAAAAAAAAAAAAATAAAATTCCTTTTCACCCTCTTCTTTCCTAACTTTCTTTCTCCCTTCATTCTCTCACACACATGCGCACGCGCACACACACACACACACACTACTCTGGACAAGGGGTTAAGGTGCAATATTTAATAACCTTCTTACTTTTCAAGGCCTTTGACTCTAGTAGGGACATTTTATATATATATATATATATATATATATATATACACATACATAACTGAAGCAAAACATTGGATTACAAATGCTAAAATAGTGCCACACACAAAATATTCTAGAAATTCAGAGAAAAAGAATCCATTTTGGTGCGATGATAACAGGCTTAATAGAGGTAAAAATTTGAGTAGAACATTGAAAAAAAAAAGGGTGGGAGGATGTGCAAATTGAAACAATATCAGAGGTCAGGGAAATTATCAGAAATGTTGAATGGACCCATTTTTCTGAGGGAAGAGGAGTGTAGGTCGGGAGAATAGTAGATAAGTAGAAAGAATTTCCTATCATGCTAGACTTGAATATTATGATATTTATCTTCTATATCAAGCTGGAGATACTGACAAACTACTAGCAAAATATGTGCTTTATAGCCATTTTTCTAGAAGCATGTATAATTCCACAAGATTTTGTCTCTGGTTCATTTTGTGGCCCTAATTACCTGATCATCTAATTATGAAAGCATTTAATTACCCTATAATTGGTGTCTTTATATGGCCCGTTGTAAGAAGGTAAAATCTGCAGGTTGGATTTCAACATGCAAACTTCCACCTGAGTGGAGAGCTCTCACTTAGGACTCAAGCCAATCACACATAATTACAATGATTTATTGGGGGAAAAATCCACAATTCAATAATATAAACATACAATTCAGTTGGCAATGAAAGAAGGAGGTTATGAACCACTAGGTGAGGTTCCAGAGACCAGCAAGCAGGGAGGGCATGTGTGTGGGTCTGGAGTTTCCCTTGCTGAGTCAGCTCATGGGGAGAGGGGGCTGCTTTTCTGGGCAAAGCCTCTGGGCACTGTTGCCAAAATATGGACAAAGCTTTGGAGATGCCATGAGCATGAAGTCCAAAGTGTCTCCTGTTGGTTTAATTTTGCTCTTATATTTACACTGCATTCAGAGGTGAGTAGCAAAACCACCTATTTAATTTTTGGTCTTAGTATCTTAGCATGACTAGGTTTTTATCTACCCTTGATTCATGTGTCTGTTTACCAGTATCCTCATAAACAGTTGGCCACTGTCACATCAGATAGTTAAGTCATTTTAAACTGTGAAGTCACTCCATTTCTATTACATCCATCTCTTAATAAGTCATGATTAATATAAAGCAAGTGCATGTAATAGATGGAACTAACCTATTATCACATCTTCTGTCACCATGATCAACTGGTAAGTTTCTCAACTAATATCATAATCAAAGAGAAGCTACCAATCCCCTTGTAAGACTAAGAGTTGTTTGAGAAGATATCCTCTCTCCAATCTTTGTAAATGGATGCATCATTGTCAACGTTAATTAAATGATTTCTAAGGAATTTAAGACTTGAGGGGGGAAAAAGCAAGTTGTATCCCTATTTAGAGGCAGACCCCTTGACAAGTTCAAGGGCTTTTCTCCAGCAATTTTGCCCTCTATCTCCTCCAGTTGTGCTGGATCAACCCCATGGGCATTCAAAGAAGTTGTTAATTCCCCATCTTAAAGTTGTTCCTTCTTGATTCATCCAGCTCCCCTAGTGCAGAAAAAAACATTCTAAGAATTGCTGTCTACACTGACTGCCCTGATGTCTTTTGCTTAGTAATTAAGTATTCATCCCACCTTTCACAAAAAGTGTCTTGTTAAGGTCACCAATAAATTCCTTATTTCCACATTCAGCAGTCAGTCATCCTGGTCTTGTCTAATCTGACCTTTTGGCACCATTTGAGTTATTTGATTACTTCCACCTTTTAAAAGACACACTTTACGCTTTCTTCCTATCTGCTTCTAAACATTTCTCAGTCTTCTTGGCTAATTTATCATCTTTCCCTTTGCCTTTTCATGGTGCAGTATTTTGAGGTCAATTATGGGATCATTTCTCTTTTTTATTAATCTTCTTTCACTCCTTTGGTGATTTCATTCAGTCTTAAGGTATAAATACTATCTGCATATTGATTACTCTTAAATTTATATCACAAATCCAGATTTTCACTCCTTCACTCCAGGTTGCAATATTCAAGGATCTATACACCATCTCCACTGGGTTACCCAATTGACATCTCAAACTGAAGGTGTCTGTACTGAATTCCAGATCTTTTCTCTATTCTTGCCCTTCCTGCAGCCTTCCTCACTCAGTATCTCTGGAGAAAAGTCATGGCATTATCCTTCACGTGTTTCTTTCTTTCTTTTTTTCTTTTTTTTTTTTTGCCCTGCTCCTATTTGTCAAAAGTTACTGATGATCATACATTCAGAATAAAACAAAATCCCACCATTTCTTACAACCTCCTCTCTGACTAGCTAGTTCTGAATTGTCACACCTCTCCTGGATGATTGCAATAGCCTCCCTCGCTGATTCTATTCTCATCCACCAGCAACCCAATCTCTCTAAACTAATCAACATCTCTCACAAGACAAGATAGATCATATTACTCTTCTACTTAACACATTCCATTGGCTTCCAGTTTCATTCAGAGTAAAAATTAAATCCTTGAGTTAGACTAAAATTGCCCCATGGGCTCTAGCGATTGCTACCTTTTTGATGTCATATTTACCATGCTTCTGACTCCCACATTCCATCCCAGCAATGTGGGCCTCTTCCCTATTTATGAACCCTCAGCCCTTCCCACTGACTCTAGATAACCACACTACTAACTCTCATATCCTTCAAGTGTTTGCTCAAATATCATCCTACTAAGCAGGCTCACCTTGAGTCTCCTCTTTTTTTTTTAAGATATTTTTTAAATTTATTTATACAAGAACTGGGGCACAGGACAGAAGCATGAGGGGGTGATGAGAAAATTCATCAGAGACAGAGCAGGGAGCAGAACAGGCAGATTGAGTGAAATACATGACTGAGGGGAGCAGTGGGCGAGGCAGGAGAGGTCTGCCACACCATGTGGGTATCTCCCTGGCCAGTTGGGAGTCAAACCCACACTGCAGAGGCTATGGACAACTTCACAGCACAGCACTCAATCTGCTGCACTACCGGGGAGACCCCCTGAGTCTCCTCTTTAAAATTCAACCTGTGTGCCAGCACTCCTTATCCTATTGTAATTCTTTATTTTATTATCAAATTTGTCTTTACATTTTAACATATTGTACAGCTTGCTTACTTTTTTCCATTTAATGGTTACTGTCCATCCTTTCTGAGAAGACTATCAACTGTGCGGGGCAATAATTTTTTCAGAGGTGGAGGCGTAGAAGTCTTTGCTATTTCTGTTATATTTCAGGAATCTGCTACAGGGTAGGTACTCAACATGTTGATTGAAAGCATTTATCAACCAGATCTTGAACTAGCTCACTTTTTTTTTAAGCTATGTCATTATTTCCTTAGCAGACTGCACCAAGAATGGCTGACATTATGTTTCTTTGTAGTATAAGTTGAAGTGGCCAACTGTCGAGAGATTTTGTGTGCTTTCTGACAAATCCACTGTCTTTATCCCTGTGCTCTTGTCTTCTCTTCAACTGTGGAAGAGCCGCCTCAGGTGGCAGTGACAAGTGCCCGGGAGTTCAACAGATAGTGTAGGAGTGATCTTTTCATTGATTAATAAATGGATGGAGAAGATTGATAAAATCATAAAAAAATGGTAAAGTGAGAACATGCCCTTTCTCCAATCCCTTCTTCAAATCCAATATGTGCAATTCAAACTGAGCATCTATGGCCCTTAATAAAATAATATCTTAATTTTCTTGGTAAGGATGAAATTGAAGCAACTCTCCTACCTGTACAAAAATAGCAAGAATGTGGACTGACAAATACCTGTTTCCCAAATACTTTTCTCTGCTAGAACTGGAGCATACCTTTCAAATCAATGGGAACATACTTCCCTATTATGCAAGAAAATTAATGACCTGACTTCTTGCTGTCCCTTCTCCTGCAGGGCAGTGGGGAAGTCATTTTTCCCTGATTGATTAGGACAGAGACATTTTAAGGGCACCTCACTGCTGATCCTGAAGCATAATCATTCAACCTTTTATCTGGGAAAAGAAATCTAATCATTTTAGATGATGGCAAAAAAAAAAAAAAAAAAACAACAAATAGGACATGACCTAGTACCATCAAACCTCACACTGAGGAGGTACATTTGGTACATTTCTTTACTTCTAGTATAATAAGTAACCTCATTTTCAGTAATACAACAAACAGAGGTTTTACTGAGGCACATGAATAGGCCTGCAGATGAGGGAGGCGGGAACTTCTCTGTGTTACACGCAGCTGGCGGGAAGGGGCCTAGCAGATGGGACCATCTGACAAAGGTGAAGCCCCATATTCCCACTCATTCATCAGCTGTTTTCTGTTTTAAATTCTACATACAAGAGAGATTGTCAAGTATTTGTCTTTCTGTGTCTGAATAATAGCTTCCTGTCCTGCATGTTCATTTACATTATCACAAATGTTGGGATTATCTTTTTTTTAAAGATTTATTTATTTATGCATACAAGAACTGGGGTGTAGGAAAGAGGTGCAGGGGTGAGAGGATTCACCAGAGACAGAGCAGGAAACAGAACAGGCAAGCTGACTGAAATACACTGAGGGGAGCAGTGGGCGAGGCAG